AAAATGGGTACTACCATGTTAAAATGCACCTAGACTCGATGAAATACACTTCTGTCCTACCGTTTGGTCGGTTTGAGTTTACAAAAATGCCGTTTGGACTCTGTAACGGGCCAGCGCAGTTCCAGCGCTTCCTTTCATCAATTTTTAAACCTCTAATAGATAAAAGTGAGATACTTTTGTATTTTAATAGTATTTTAATTGCAACTAAAACAATTGGAGACAATTTGCATATCTTAGAGACAGTTTTACGACTCCTCGTCGATAATAAATTAGAACTAAGAATGGACAAATGTATTTTTTTTTTTTTTTTTTTTTTTTTTACAAAAGGCAATTATTTATTTAGGACACCATGTGAATAAAGATGAAATAAGACCGAATCCGGAAAATGTTAAAACAATTAATTCACTACTTTTGTGGTCCGCTTGACCAATTAATAACTGACAATTAATTAAGGTTTTTGGTTGAGATGAAAAAAAGTTAATGGCACGAGAGGGATTCGAACCCACGACCTTCGGCTAGATACGCCGCTGCTCTACCNTTTGAAAAATGGCAAAAGGAGGGAAAACTCAAAAAGAGCAGCGGCGTATCTAGCCGAAGGTCGTGGGTTCGAATCCCTCTCGTGCCATTAACTTTTTTTCATCTCAACCAAAAACCTTAATTAATTGTCAGTTAATACAATTATAAATTATCCAGTTCCTACGAACGTTCACGATGTTCAGCGATTCTTAGGCCTTACCTCATATTTTAGACGATTTGTTTGTGGATTTTCCGAAATTGCTGCACCAATTTATGCCCTACTCAAGAAGGACGTCGCATTTAGATTCGGTGATGAAGAAATGAAGGCGTTCGATTTGCTCAAGCAAAAACTCTCCGAAAGACCAGTTCTCGCAATTTATAATCCTGCACTTGCAAGCTCTCAAGGGTTTGGTGCTGTACTTATGCAAAAACAAAAGGAAGATGGTAAATTTCATCCTGTATTTTATTTCAGTCGAAGGACGACTAAGGAAGAGACAATGTTTCACAGTTTTGAACTCGCGACATTAGCTATTAAATACGCTTTGGATCGTACAAGGCATTGAATTTAAAGTTATAACCGATTGTAACGCACTAAAATAAACACTGGCAAAGAAAGATGTAAACCCGAGAATAGCCAGGTGGCTCTTTGATTTCCAAAACTTCAACTTCGAAATTGAGCATCGTGGATCGGAACGAATGAAGCATATAGATGCATTAAGTCGAAGTGTATTGATGATAATTGAAAATGAACTAGACGTTGCTTTGCAAGTTAGGCAACTCGCAGATCCAGAAATTTCGAAAATTCGAGATTACTTGGAAAATCAAGAGGATTCCTTTTATGAACTACGAAACGGCCTCGTATATAGTAAACTGCAAGGTGATCAACTTCGATTTTATATTCCGAAAGATCTCGTTATGTCAATTATTAGAACCTATCATGATGAAATGGGTCACATGGGTGTTGCTAAAACTATTGATATGATTAGCAGACTCTACTGGTTTCCCAAGATGAAGACAGAAATAAAAAATTACATAGGCAATTGCCTTAAATGCATTCATTTTTCGCCTAAGTCGGGAAAGCAGGAAGGATTCCTCCATTCGATACCTAAGGAGTGAGTTCCGTTTGATACGATCCACATCGATCATTATGGGCCAATTTCAATAACTTTTCGAACGCATAAAAACATTTTAGTTGTTATTGATGCGTTTACTAAATTTATTCGATTATACCCTTGTCGTACGGTAACGACTGCAGAAGTAATCACGCATCTTACTGACTATTTCAGAGCATACAGCCCGCCAAGAAGGATTATATCAGACAGGGGATCATTCTTTACATCGACGGGGTTCACGAATTTTTAAGGGACCATAACGTTACACCAGTATTGCCTATATATTCNTGGGTCACATGGGTGTTGCTAAAACTATTGATATGATTAGCAGACTCTACTGGTTTCCCAAGATGAAGACAGAAATAAAAAATTACATAGGCAATTGCCTTATATGCATTCATTTTTCGCCTAAGTCGAAGCAGGAAGGATTCCTCCATTCGATACCTAAGGAATGCGTTCCGTTTGATACAATCCACATCGATCATTATGGGCCAATTTCAACAACTTTTCGAAAGCATAAATACATTTTAGTTGTTATTGATGCGTTTACTAAATTTGTTCGATTATACCCTTGCCGTACGGTAACGACTGCAGAAGTTATCATTCATCTTACTGACTATTTCAGAGCATACAGCCCGCCAAGAAAGATTATATCTGACAGAGGATCATGCTTTACATCGGCTGAGTTCACGAATTTTTTAAGGGACCATAACGTTACACCAGTATTGACGGGTACATCCACGCCTCGTGCAAATGGCGTCGAGAGTGTGAACAGAGTGTTGACGGCCATGTTAGGAAAACTTAACGGCGCAAATGACTGGGATTTGAAACTGAGCAAGGTAGAATATTCACTGAACAATGTTCAACACAACTCCACGAAATCAACACCGTTTAAACTGCTTTTTGGAGTAGATCAGGCCCGCTCACCTTTAGATGGTCTTGGGCCAATCGTGCAAGAACTAGCAGAATGCATCGAAAACACAAGAGATCTAGATGTCCAAGAGAAAAGCAGCCAATCAATAAAAAGAAGGAGATTTGGTTGTCATTACTGACCGCGACAATTGTCCTGGTGTAAATACAAAGTTATCACCGAAATTTAAGGGACCCTATAAAATTAAACATATATTATCAAACGATAGATTTGTTATAAGTGAAGTTAATGGTTTTCAAGTTGGACGTAATCATATGAGGGCATCCATTCACCAGACCACATTAAGCCTTATGTAAATAAATGATAATAATAATACATGTTAAAAAGTTTTTTATTTTAGATTATTTTAGTTAATGTTTTGAGTTATGTTAGTTTGTACTTTTTCATCTTACGTTTGTTTATGTTATATGGAAACCATTATACTCTTCGTTACTTATGTTATACTTATGTTTAATTTTGTTCTGTATTATGTGATTGTCGAAGTATACATGTATGGTAAAGTCAAGGTTGACTTTTATGTCAGAATGGCCGAATGTAAGACCATGTATTGTAGTACGATGGCCTACGGATGTCTTAAGAAGGAGGTTTTAATTACGTTTTTTGTTTATGTTTTTTGTGTATTGTTATGTTCTTGTGTTCGTGGTTAATATAGTTGTTCTTGTTTAACACTGTTTTTCTAAACTAATTCCACCTTTTCCCAACAGTACAGATGGCATAGTACAACAAACAAGTAGTTTTAAAAACTGGTTACATCCAGGAACTGATATAGAGGTTGACCTTTGTGAGGATGACGTTCTACAGTATGAGATACATGCAGATGGAAGTAAAACAAAAGAAAAAACACTATTGAACTAAGTAATGTCTTAATTAAATAAAACATTTTCTTATAAAGTATGTTTTTTAGAACATGGACATTTTGGAGACTGATTTGTCTTTTTAAATGTTTTGGTTTTGGCTAAAAAAAATCGTTTTTAAAAGGTAAATTCGTTTAAAAATTGATCTGGGCGTTCGGAAATTTATACCCATTGTCAGCTTCTTACATTTTTGGAAAAATGTTCAATATACATAGTTTCTTTTAGAGATTTGTCAAAAATTTCCATGTTCTAAAAATCTTATTAAAAAAATTCTTCCAAAAAACGATATACCTTGAAAAATATAATATGTGAAAGAAACATATCAACAACTCACAACGAATAATAACATCTTGCTGAAAATGCAAAATAGGCATTATCAAGAAATATAAGATTCTGATGATGGGTGTAAAATTTCCGAAACGGAAAAATCCACACCCCTTCAATTTTAACAAAAAAATGTTGAAAAGTCAAATTAGCTTCAAAAATCTCCATGCTCTAAAAAATATACTTTTGTAAGAAAATATCTATTTCATTTGTTTTCTTTTCTTTTTTTTGCCTTATGATCTATGCATATTAACCATGGTGACGAATTCTTGTATATGTGTTCATATTGGGGGGGGTTATAGTGAAAAAAGGGCCAGAGGCGACGGTAGGAATCGAACCCACGACTGCGGCGTCTATGAGCCGAGAGTCTCTCACGCTAACCACTCGGCTACCGCGGTCCCCATATTTCATCTTGACAGTTTAAAAAATTATTAAGAAAAATAAAATCCTGATGATGGATGTAAAATTCCCGAAACGTCAAAACCCAGATCCCCTAAATTTTAACAAAAAAATTTTTAAAAATTCAAATTAGCCTCAAAAATTTCCATGCTCTAAAAAATACACTTTTGTAAAAAAAATACTTATTTCATGTTGACAGTTTTGTTTTACTTACTTAAGTCATTACGAAGTTTAATAATGTTCCATATTAACTGTTCATTTTATTTCGTTAGATTTTCTTATTTTGATTATTAATACTTTTGTATATGTTCATATTATTTTCCTTGCTAAGATAATAATTTGAATTGTAACAAACTAATATTTTCACACTCAACTCCCAATTTGGTTTATATTTTGATTCTTAATTTAAAGAACTGTTTACTCTATTTGTATCATACGCTTATATTTTATGTGAAATTTATTTAGTAAATAAATTCCCTCAATTTAATTTAAAATTTTCAATTGAAACATTCAAAATGAAATTAAAGCAAAATAATACAATACTAATAGAAAATATATGTATTATACAGTATTTTTACACATATTTATACTCTGTTTCTATGCAGTACTTGTTACTGGTTCATTCAATTTTAAAAATTGAAAAATTCTATTTTCGGTGACTTATTTATAATTTGACGATATTTTTGTTTGAATAATATTAAGTTATTTATAGGTCTATAAGTTGGTCGTTTAACGACTAGTTTAATTAAACCCCATTGTAAGTATGCAGGGTAAAACAGTTACAGTCAACCCACGTGGTTTATATGTATATATAAAAAAAACATCTCCTTTGACCCTGGGGTTGAGAAAGAGGGACGGACTCACCGAATACGTGTATCATGAAGGATCCAAAGACGACGAACCACCCCCATCCTCCGTCCGGTGGTTTGGCGAGGGCGGAACTCGTTCTCGGCGCACCTCCCATGCTGTACTGGAAGTTGGACTGCCTGCGAAAAGCGAGACAAGGTTAGTCGCGCCGTCCCCACCACGTGGTTGTTGGAGGGGCGGCTACACGTGACAAACTGACGGTAGAGTTTTTTTCTCCTTGATATTCCTCTTATCATTGACTTTATTACGAAATTACCATTGAAATTTTATCATACATTCAAAAGGCAACGTTATTTAATTGAAACAACAAATAAAAATTGTTGACAACAAATACAATTATACAAACACTTATTGTTCTCATACTCAAACTTTCTTTGAACAGATCTTAAAGCAATTTATGCTTTTACCCACTATCGTTTACAAAAAGTAGAACTACGAAACAGCCTATACGGTAGGTTAAAAAAATCATTCATACATAGACAGAGGTTATGTGTTCCAATAGGACCCAATTACGTTCATACTGACGGTATGTGCGGCAAACGCTTTTTAATGAGGGCAAATTTGAAAAAAAAAATACACGTATTTTATCTATATACAGTTTTTGATGTCATTTATTTTGGCTAATACAGATTAATTTTTTCTCAATAATTAATAATACAACAATCAAATCCCCCCCCCAAACGGGACTCTATGACGTACACACACAGGGTGACCGACGATATGAGCTGCAACCACTTTTTTTTTTTAATTGAGGGCACATTTGAAAAAACACACGTATTTTATGGTTTTTGATGTATTTTATTTTATCTAATACAGATTGTTTGTTTTTTCTCTGTGTAATACTGAATACACGACATACACAACCAACATTTTTTCCCCAATTGGGACCCTATTCTATAACGTACATAAAGACAAAGTGACTGATGTTAGAGCTCCAACAACTTTGTTTAATGAGGGCAAATTTGAAAAAAATACATGTATTTTATGGTTTTTGATGTAGTTTATTTTTGCTAATACAGATTGTTTTTTTCTTCTGTATGAGACAAAATACACGAATTTTTCCTCAATTGGGACCCTCTTACGTACGTACAGACGAAGTGACCAATGTTAGAGCTCCAACAAGCTTTTTTAATGAGGGCAAATTTGAAAAAAATATATGGATTGTATGGTTTTGGTGTACTTTATTTTGGCTAATACAGATTAATTTTTTCTCTCAATAATTAATAATACAACAATCAAATCCCCCCCCCCCAAACGGTACTCTACTACGTACACACAGACGAGGTGACCGACGATATGAGCTATAACCACTTTTTTTTTAAATTGAGAACACATTTAAAAAAAATACACGTATTTGATCGTTTTTGATGTAATTTATTTTGGCTAATACAGATTGATTTTTTTCTCAATAATTCATAATACAACAATCAAATTTTTCCCCTCAAACGGGACTCTATTACGTACACACAGACAGGGTGACCGACGATATGAGGTGCAACCACTTTTTTAATGAGGGCAAATTTGAAAAAATGCATGTATTTTATGGTTTTTGATGTAATTTATTTTGGCTAATACAGATTGATATTTTTTCCCTCAATAATTCATAATACAACGACCAACTTTGTTCCCCCAAACGGGACTATTACGTACATACAGACAGGGTGACCGACGATATGTCCTGCAACCACTTTTTTTTAATTGAGGGCACATTTGAAAAAAAATAAACGTATTTTATGTTTTTTGATGTATTTTATTTTATCTAATACTGATTGTTTGTTTTTTCTCTGTGTAATACTGAATACACAACATACACAACCAACATTTTTTCCCCAATTGGGACCCTATTCTATAACGTACATAGAGACAAAGTGACTGATGTTAGAGCTCCAACAACTTTGTTTAATGAGGGCAAATTTGAAAAAAATACAAGTATTTTATGGTTTTTGATGTAATTTATTTTGGTTAATGCAGATTGATTTTTTTTCTCGATAATTCATAATACAACAACCAAATTATTCCCTTCAAACGGGACTCTATTACGTACGTACAGACAGGGTGACCGACGGTACGTGCCCCAACCACTTTTTTAATGAGGGCAAATTTGAAAAAAAATTCACGTATTTTATGGTTTTTGTTGTAGTTTATTTTTGATAATAGAGATTGTTTTTTTTTTCCTCTGTATGAGACAAAATACACGAACCAACATTTTTTCCTCAATTGGGACCCTATTACGTACGTACAGACGAAGTGACCAATGTTGGAGCTCCAACAACCATTTTTAATGAGGGCAAATTTGAAAAAAATACATGTATTTTATGGTTTTGGTGTACTTTATTTTGGCTAATACAGACTTTTTTCTCTGTATGAGAAAGAAAGCAGCAACCAATATTTTGTCACCAATTAGAACCCAATTACGTACGTACAAAGTGACAGATGTTAGAGCTCCAACAACTTTTTGTAATGAAGGCAAATTTGAAAAAAATACATGTATTTTATAGTTTTTGACGTAGTTTATTTTGGCTAATACAGATTGTTCTTTTTTTCTCTGTATGGGACAGAATACACCAACCAACTTTTTCCCAACTGGGACCCTATTACGTACGTACAGACAAAGTAACCGATGTTAAAAATACTTGTATTTTATGGTTTTGGTGTACTTTATTTTTGCTAATACAAATTAATTTTTTTCTCTGAATAATACAGAATAAACCAACCAATTTTTCCCCTCAAACGGGGCCCTATTATGTACGTACAGACAGGGTTACCAACGAACGTTGTATGTTCCATCCACTTTTTTAAGGAGGCAAATTTGAAAAAATAGGTACGCATTTTATGGTTTCTGGTGTATTTTCATTCCGCTCATACAGATTGATTTTTGTCTAGTGTTTAACCTACTGAAAATATCAAAAAAATAATTTTGTTAAATCGGCCATGTTTTTCAAAATGAGTTTTCAATATTGTGCGTAAAATAAATCATTGATATATAACCACATCTTAAAAATGTCTCAATCTCAAAAACATTACAAAAAATTGTATGCAACATCATTAGAACCATGTTGAGAATGACTGTTGTTGGTTTTAACCCGAGGGATAATTATTACGTTTTTTTTCCAACTTTTATTACAGAACTACCGACAACTCATTTATCTACAGCAAAAGAAGCTGTCGATAAATTAGTTGATTATTTTTTAAATTTACGTTATTATTTTACTTATTAATGTATTTTTGTTGGTTGTTTAGAAATAATAGTTTTAATGTTGTAGTTTGTCACACAAAAATTAGATATTGAGAAATTTTTAAGAACGTTTTCAGATATTTTTAATATCTTGTATCTTGTGAAGTAGGGGAGCAACTTATTTTTCACACAAAGTTGGGAATACATTTTGAAATGTATATCTGATTAAAAAATCCCCCTTTTTTATGTGTTAAGGAGACTAAACCCTATCCAAAATGTTGAAAAACTTAATAAATATCCTTTTTTTTTAAAAGTTGGTTGATTTTTTCTGGAATATTTTAACACAAAAATCAATTTGCATTAGCCAAATTACAATACATAATAAATTATGAAATGTATTTTTTTTTAATTTGCCTTAAAAAAAAGTGGGCGAGCACATACCCTCGGTCGTTCTGTATGTATTTTCTTTTTGATTTTCTTCTTTAATTTTATGTTATAACTAAAACCTCCTTTGGACAATATATTGGACAATTCAACAATACGTTGAATATAATCTGTTAAATGATCTAAATCTTTTAAATAATTATTAGGTGTTGGATTAAAAAACAAAAAAATGATATTTTCATGTACCAAACAATTATTGATGCATAGGAAACTACGAAAGACTAACATTTTTTGTAACTTGCAGTACAATACAAATATCTTCAATTCGGTAACATGTAACAATGAGGTAGGAAATCCAGCTTTTTCCGTCCAATTAATTTTTAAATTTCAAATTAACCTTTTTTTAATAAATAAAAAAATTAATTACAATCCAATTGAAATGTTATATACATTTAAATATAAAATCAAATGTTTCGTCTATAATAATTTCGAGTTAAAAAAAATTAAGCTTTTATATAAAATAGTAAAATAACATGAACGTTAATTACAATATTACAATTAATTAAGGTTATTAGTTGAGATAAAAAAAGTCAGTGGCAAGAGCGGGATTCGAACCCACGATCTTCGGCTAGATACGTCGCTGCTCTACCACTTGAGCTACCGCGACCTCGATCCACTCGGACACCAACTTCCTATCTCAACCCCACCTTTTAAATTTTCCCTCCTTTTTGCCATTTTTTTGGCTCGTGCCATTGACTTTTTTATCTCAACTAATAACCGTAATTAATTGTAACATATTAATTAGTCAAGCGGACCACGAAATTAGTGAAGTTAATTAACGAATTTAATTAACGAAATTAAAAGTAAAAATTATATGAAATCAAATATTAAAATAAGTAATTCTTCCGTTAAAAAGTTCTTAACAAAAATTAGAATATAAAGGGAAGTATAACTTTATCACCCCCTATTTTATTACTCCTTTTTTTTAACCGTACTGTTAACTGTGTTATTGAACCATTAACAATTAATAGAACCATCAAGTAAAATATTGAATAAAAAAATTGATTATTGGTTGAAGAAGTTGGAAAGTTTGTTTTACCGAAAAACAATGTTCTCGTAAAGCTTTTAGAGAACGGTTGCTCCAATTTCAGTACTTTTTGTATCGTTGAATGCAGGGCCGAAACACTTCAAAGAATGTACATTGATTTTGCTATTTAATTTAATAGTTCAGCCTTTATTTGTATCCCGCTATCCTAGAGAGATAGATCAAGAGACACTAGACAAAAATTAAGTTTGTGTCCCGACAATAAAACAATTAGGACAGAACAGAAATAAAATTTACCTTGTATATTACAGTTTTATTTGTACATTTCTTTAACCATTATATAATAGAATAATTCTTTATTTTAATATTTAATTTTAAATAAATAGTTTGCGTTTTCCCAATTTCATGCCATGCCTGCCGCCTTTCTTCGAGTATCCAAGAAGCGTACTATTGTTTTAAACATGGTTTTTGAACTTCTCTGACAAATAATATGTTCACACGTTGATCGTCCATTT